ATGATGCAATTTTTAATGAATTCACCTTCATCATACTTGTTATTCATTTTCCATCATATTTGTGCTCAGCTTCGCCCCTTTTACTATTGTCAGCGTGTCGCTTCTACTCCATACTGGGAGAACTAAGTTTTCCTGCACTTCGTCAATAAGGGACGGGAGCTAATTAAAGTTTTCTGAACAGCATTCGATGGGTCGATCATCTCGCGGTAACTGGGTCTTATTCTCAGTTCTAGATGTAGCTTTGCACTCGATTCCAGTAGAATATTCTACTTGGTAATTACGGTAGAATTAAATGTATTTTCGATCCCTGTCGTTTGCACGACAGGCATTTCGGGTAGAAGGATAATTAAAAAAAACCATAATCTCGCCAAAACCAAAACCATAACCTAAATGAAAATATTTCATTTTACTCCCATTTTCCATTTTACACGTAGCTGCTTGAAAAAAATCAAGCAAAGAATTCCATCGAGATTAATCATTCAATTTTCAAAAAATTGATTATTTTCTTGCGCGTCAAAAAAAAAAAAACAATCCCGAAAACACGCCTTAAAAATCCCAATTTTAATAAGAAGTTAAAATTTTTATTCTTACTTCAAAATTCGAGGAAATCACCGAAACCGAGTTAAGGATTCCATTCGATCCAATTGTTTCCCCTCCAAAAAAAAAAAAAAAGAAAATTCTCCATCCTCGTCGTTTCACTTTAGACTCAAAGTAGTTTTCACGCTTGTGTAGAAATATCTCCGCTACCGAACGATACCTCTGGGATGCATCGAATTCGATAACCCTTTCTCTTTTCCTTCCTTCCTTCCTTCTTCTTTTTTCTTCTTTCCCCTCGGCCGGCACACGTGAGGGTACTACTCATTTCCAGAGACAAGCCACGTCCCGGTTATAACCGTGTCGAAGATCGATACGATCGATTCGCTCCAATTTCACCGGGCTATGTATCGCGCTCCATCGGATCGGTATCATCTCCTTAGCGGATCGTTCGCCCACCACTACCACTACCCTTCGCCTACCTCGCATTTTAAACTGCTGATTCGACGGACGACGATTTATCTCGGACAGTGCAGCGACAGGCAAACATTATTACGCCTTGTTATCGAGAGTTGGAGCGCGACTACGTGCTGTTGCCCACCCTCTTCCTCCTCTCTTATTTTCTCGCGCCTAATGCCGATGAATCCCTTCCCCTTTCACGAGAAAACGGGGGGAAGGAAAAAGATTCTCTCTCATTAGTGTCATTGATTTCTCTCGTGATTTACCTTTTCCTTCCAATTCGAGAGCTGTTTCTCTTTCCCCGGGAAAGAAATTTTATTTTCGTTAAAAGGGACGAGGGAATTATTTTGTAATTTTCTTTCCTTCGTTTTTTTGTTGCCACATAAAGTGATTATTCGGCTGGAATATTAATCATTGTTGTGCAAGAAGGATTAATTTCGAGAAGAGGAACGAAATTGAAGTTCCGCTTAGTTTAGACGTTCGGATATAATTGCAGGGCGATTTTAAATTTCTTTTGGCGAGCAGATGTTATCAAATAACGAGTAAGAAATCACAGGGGAAAGTAGTAAGTTTTCAAAGTTTTCTTGGTTAATTTTGATCGATTAATCTCTCCACCTTTCCACGCGCATCGAATATTAAAGAAATAAGGATTCGATCGAGAACGGATTCGTCATTTGTAAATGCAATAATCATTTAGGATAATATTTAATATATGATATTCAAAGCTTTTACTCCATTCCTCACGATATATTCCCGACGATAAAACGAAAATGATTGGACGACGAGTACACATCCAACGCGATGAAATTTTTAAACAATTTTTCTACTCCTCTCGTTTCCGCGATACGCGAGATAAATATTGATGCCAACTGCATTATTAATCCCCGATGTTTATTTCCACCTCCTCCCCCCCTCTCTTTTCCCCGATTTAATCAACTCATCGCATTTAAATTTTAAAACGCTCCACCCCTAACCGTCTAATTTTCATCAGACACCATTCGTGTAATCACTTTTCCAATAATCGTAAATTTTTATTCATCCACGATAAGGATTCGCGTGGAAATCTCCATTCGAAAAGCCGAATCGAATCGGTTTAACTCGTGTTCACATTGAACGGGGATATCGCGTCATCACCTTCGAAGAAACAAATCCTGACAGAGAGGGAATCGCATTATCGAGGCTCTCACAACTCTCTCGATGAAACTTTCCAACCACCACCATCTCTCTCTCTCTCTCTCTCGATATTTCCACGTTTATGAGAGATCGAGGATCCCCCTCCCCCCTTTTCTTTCGCGGACCAACTTTTCACTTAGCGGGCCAAGCGTCGCAAAATGGAACATTGGATTTCAATTAACAATTCCGTTCCGGTATTAATCGGGACAGGGGGCGGATAGAAGTCGAAATAAACGTGCGTAGCCAGTTTCCAACTTTCCTAAGAATGTAATTATTCACTGCTGAGCCCTTTATAATAATGACAAATGGCCCTGGCCGCCCGGTGTCTCCTTTGTGTCTCGTGCAACGCAACGCCTTCGAAAACGCCAGACAAACCTGCCACGCCTAACGATTCTTTAACTTCTTCGAGTATCAAACTCGGAGGGAGGGAGGGAGGGAGGCACCGACTGTAGAGCACTGTATTAAACTGCAGAGGGAGAATTTCCGCGAGACGTTTCGTTCACAGCTGGCCCCACAGATATAATGGATTAATCCTTGAACGAGTTATAATGGTCAGATGGATGGATGGATGGATGGTGTGTTGAATTTACGTTCAATTCGTTTTTCTAAATTCTTGGCCAATTATCGTTTTGTTCTTAATTGGATGACGGTTTATCATCTTGTCCCCCCGTTGGTGCGTTATTGTAGATTGAATTTGTTTCACTCTCTTGATTATTGTTGTTATATATTATTTATTTTCGAGCTCAATAAATGAGTAATCTACTTTGTTAATTATAATCGTGTCTGGTAAATTTATATTTCTTTCTCTCTGCATGAAAAATTGATCCATTGACTTGCATTATTTATTTAACTTATGCAACTTTAACTTTATTCTATTTGTTATTTTACTTGGCTGACTCCTATTACTTTTTAGACAAATGAATGGTTTTGTCATCCAACCATTCTATAATTTTGTCTTATTCTATTTATTACGTGTAAAAGGATGATTTATACAACTTGACAGATGAATGGTTGATTTGTATTACTTATCTAACAATCAACTTATCTTATTATTCGTGTGGATCAAGGTTCAACTATAACTACTTGGCTACAACACATTTGCATTTCATACAAAGTTTGAATCTTTATCTACTTGCCTTTCCAATCGACTTCTGCATAAATGGGTCTCCTAAGGAAAAACTTTTAGCTTTACCATCGCTGGTGGAGATTGATCTTGTTTGCGTTTGGCTTTCAGATGAAATCCAGAACGCTTTGATATCGCGACACCTTGGTTGTCGTAGACGAAGTTTCCACTTCTCGAGGATTTTTCTGCGTACTTGCTGCCCTTGCAACACCTTGCTCTCTTTGAGCCGCGCGAAATCTAGGGAAGTGATTATCTCGAGGGGAGGCATGCATCAAGGGAAAGAAAGAGTGGGGGGGTGTAGCCCATCCGTCTAGCCGAGAGGATGAAATTTGAATTCGAATACGTGGCGCGTTGCTAGGTGGAAAGGACGTCCGATTTACATTAAATTTACATTGCTATAACTTGGCCTCGTGTCTGAGATTGATATGGCGAAAGATCTCTTTCCCTCGCCTCCGAATCTCGCAGGAGTACATTTTCATTTGATGTAAGCTTCGAGGAAACGTTGATACATGTCCAGATCGGCGAAGTCATCCTTGGACTGTTTTTATCAGGCATCAGATTTGCCTAATCAGATTTCAAGAATTCCATTTTGACTTTGATTTCCTCGAACGAAAAATATTCCTGCTTCTTTGTCCAAAACAGACAGAGTGGATCTTTGCAATGGTTATTGTTATTATTTCTATTGAGTGAGAAATGTGTTTGAGCATTTTCAATTTTTTAAATAAGAATATTCATTGACAAACATGTCTGCCAACATTTTAAAAATTACATTTCGTCGTACAAGTATCCATAAAAAATCAATTTCAAAACTTTTTAAAATATCTATTTTAAAAATTCTTCGATAAAAAATCAAATCTGTCATCGTATCTGTCCATATTCCGGCGCACGTATCGAAGAATTCATCGATGTGATCCTTCAACGCAGTTCGTGCATTTATAGATAAATACAGTGACATGTGGAGAACGAGAGGAATATCGAATTTTCCACGAAAATGATGTTTTAATTGATTTTGTAAGCTTTAAATCCTATTTTTACGAGAAATCAATAAATAGCTTATGGACTCCAATATTTTTAATAGTGACTCTTCCCGAATTTTACATTTAAAATAGTTAATTTTTCAATGATCAATTTTGTTGAACCTGTAAAATTTTATAATGATATTTATAATATATTTGATAATTTAAACTTATATTCTGAAATGCAAAAATTCTATTCTTACAACTCGTGTATGCACAATCACACACAACGTTTCTTCAAGAATGCAAATTTGCAATTTATATTCTAGCCACGTAGAAGCAAATCTGCTGATGGCGCCATTATACTTTCATTTTCAGAATCATTCCTTCCTTTTTATCCCTTAACTAAACATTCGATATCGTATTCTCGATCACTTGTTACATAGCAATTTGACAACGTTTCGAATCTGTAAAATGGCGGGAAATTCAAATTCGGAACGCGATTCCAAGTTTTGAAACTGTTGGAAAATCTTGACACATTCTTCTTGAGAATTTCTCACTTCCAACCATTTTCCAGAATTGGCTCACGTTATCCGAGTTTCAACAGTGACAAATAGATAACGCAAGCAAGAGACAGAATATTTCTCGAGAAAAATTTCTCAAGGTTTTACACAATTTTTAAATTTAACGATCAACGACTAATTCCAAATCTCACCACGCCCATATAACGATCACATTTTCCTCTTCTATTCCAGGTGTCCTGGGTGCGCAGACGTGGCGACGAGCTCCACTTGCTCACGATCGGCCTCGACACGTACGCGAGCGACTCGAGGTTCTCGCTCGCCTTGGAGAAGCCGAATGATTGGCGGCTGCTTTTAAGTTCGGCGACCGAACGAGATGGCGGCGTGTACGAGTGTCAAGTCAGTGCTCATCCTCCATTAATCAGAACTGTCCATCTGACGGTGTCAGGTGAGTAAATGCGTACATATCTCCATCGTTGGCCCAACTATCGAGTTGTCAGTGTCGAGGGCCAATCGCGGCCACACCAGAATTTCATACATGTCCGTCCCTCGGATCTGATGCTCTTTGATCTGACTACTTCGTTGTCATCGATAAATCAACCGATTCGAGCTCGAAACAGAGACGTCGCGCTCGTTGATCAACCATGTAACGAGAATTTGACGTTATAGGTTAGGTTAGATTAGATTTTTCGTCAAAATGGTGGCATAATGACGCATGCGCAACCCTGGCATTCTCGTGAACGGTGGTTCGTTTAAAATGGAGAGACGTGGCGAGGCTTGATCCTGTTTATTAAACGCGAGAGGGATTAGGGATTATTTAGGAGTTGAAATTGGGTCTGTGCGATTCGCTGTTAATTTTGATGTTTTAGTTTTAGTTAGTTTCAGATAGAGATTTGGAATTATGGAAGATTAATTGTGAGTTTGTATCTATTTATTTATTGGCTTATATATGATGTATTATTGAGGAGATGTTATTGAATTTGAGAGAGGCTGATAAAGATTGATAGTGGATTAGCGTAGAATTTGAATACGAGAGTTTTCTTGTGTTCAATTCAGTCAATTCAATTTAGGAGGATCATTGATATGAGAATTGAAAGTAGTGGTGAGTAGTGATAAGAAATTTCAAAAAGTACACAATAAATTTTCAATATTCAAACTATGGAAATAAGTTATAAGCTAAATTGTATTAAGGAATAAACGAGGTTGTGTTTCCAATTAATTTAGAACAATCGTTTAATCTAACAACGAGGATATTGGTTATAACTTTAAGCTGCGATAATAGCCAAGGATTGAAACATCACCGAGAATCCTTGTTTCTTCGCGACACGGAATGGTTAAATATTCCAGTGACCATGTAGGTTTTGGTTATTTGGCTCCTCCTTGGGATCGTTGTTATTTTAAACCGTATCCTTCAAATTATGAATCTCTCAAGTACAGTTAAACCTGGCAAACTGAAATACAATCATTTTGAACTCACTAGCTTGAAATTATAACTTTCAGAAGAATTACCATATTTTCTTTAGAGACGTGTAGCCAATGTAAACTCTGCATTCTTTCGAATTTTTCAAATTCTAAAACTCAGATTGTGCATCACGTTTAAAAGGCAATTCTTCTTTAAAATAAAATTACTATTTCATTCGAAAAGAGGGCATACAATTTTTTTCTTAAACCGTCTTCTTATATCTTATTCTTTTGCAGGAGAAATATTAGAAATGATAGGAGCTGCTCATCGATACATGCGGTTTGTGATGCGGTTAATGAGATGCACGTTAGTTGCATATTACGCGCTCCCTCGAGTTAATCTCGTCGACGAGAGGAGGGCAAAAAACAGGCCCATTATTCTCTTAATCTAGCCTTGCAAAGTATCTCGGGAAAGTTGGCCGGTAGATACATAATCCGTGGCATTCTGTGGAACATTTTCGTTAGACCATAAATCACGAGGGCTCGCATCGTTACGGTCGTCCTTGTCGTGGCATAATGGCGATCTTGGAGCTAGTAACGATGTCCTCGTGGCACTCACGACCCATCCTACGTACATCCCTTAATTGGAGTCCTGTCTCCTCTTTGCACGTATCTATCCTTCTTTTTTATTGTTAAAATTTTAAAAACGCACGCTCGATAGGAAATTTTTGGAATTAAAAGCATTCCATGATTTTTCTAATACTCGTGATCCAGTTGTGTATTTAATATTTTGCAATTTATCGTACGATTTTTATATCGTTCTGAAATATCTAATTTCGTATTTCAAGATTTAAAGTGAAATTGGTGTCTGGAATAAGAATTTAAATATTTACGAATCTTTGCATTCCGCGAGACTGAAGCGAGTTGAATGGCAAGCGAGCACACATCCGAAATGCGCATACATGCATGCACAGTTGGCATCGTATCCAGCGACACATATCTTAAAACGCCGGTTTATGATGCCAACGACCGAAAAGCGTTCGATTCAACAGCGCTGCATATGGCTAATGTCTCGCTACCAGTCGCCTGTTAAACCTCGTACCCCCTTTCGTGGCTGGGGTTAATATTTCTTGACCTCGTTTCTCCTCCTCCTTCGTGGATTCCATACTCGTGACTTCGCAACGAAGGAAATGAACAGAAAGTGTGAAGTGATCTTTCAATTCTTCAAGCCACATTTGTCTTCTTATTCGAGGGAAGCACACTTATCATTTTCTCAACTTCTTATTATTCGTAAATATCGTAATTCTTTTTTTATTCTTTTTGTCATGTATACGTTTTATATGATCGATAGGTTGTCAGTATACAATTTTTCACTTTAATTTTCACGTTAAATTCACGCATCCATGATATTATAATCCAGTCAAAAAATCAGTGGCCAATTTTGAAGGCAATTTTGAAGAAGTGAGTGCAGATAAACCTGAAAAATAATTAGAAATTAGATACATTTTCCAAGCCACAATCGATTTAATATCGTACCAGAAACGCCTGTAAGTAGGCAATTGGGCCAGCAGGAATTAGCATGGAGCTGGATATATCGAATCTTAAAAGGATTTTAAAGAAAACGGTAAGATTTTTTTTAAAGATTTCATTTCCAAAGTATGTCCTTGAGCTTTTTCCTTTTCTCTCGCAATTCCTGTGAATATGGACGCAGCGGCTGCGTTTGAAAAAAAGGGAAGAAGCAGTGACGTTGAAAGCGTACGACTCGAGATAACCCGAACTGGTACGCGCTTACTGGTAAATGCGTGTTTTCATAAAAGCAGGCAGTTACTTTGCCGCGTTCGAATAGAAAACGTGGTTGTTTGCGTGCGACACATTTTTCGTGCACATGTGTGCAATTTTCACATTTTCACTGGTCCACGCGTGAAAATACCTCCCTTTTGCCCGGCTCCCTTTTCAAACAAATGCGCAAAGAAGGAGAGCCGTAGGGCTCGTTTCAAGTGGACAACAAGAAAAACTACCTCGGTTCTTTTTACTCTGAATGACTATTCACGGAAGATGCTCCTTGTATACGATGCTTCTTAAGGCATTATTCATGTTTCAATACGCGAAATACACGTCGGAACTTAAATTTAATTTGCCAGAAAAGAAGTTTTCCTTTCCCTTGTAATCCAATCTATAAGCTTTTGTGTTTAAGTGATTTAAGATACCTATTTTCTCTTATAAAAAAGAAAAAAAAAAAAAGAATCTCACAACCTGAAACTTGTCGATTCAACGATATATCATTACTCGATAAATTATTACACGAGACTTCTTAATTGCTTTATTTACATTTCGAAAATATTGGATCGAAAACGATTGTATTACTTTAAACGAGTTTTATTATTCGAGAAGAATTGTCAAAAAAAAATATAAATAATTTTCAGCCTACAATTTACACTCGTATCTCAATTAAAATGAGTCTAGAGGAGAGTAGGAAAGGCATGATATCGCGTCATATCATCCGGTCATTTGTTTATCACGTTATCTCGTATGCGTGAATCATTCTTTTCCCAAAACAAACATAAATCCAATAAAAACCGAATGGCTTCGAGCTATCTAAATCCCCTGCATGGGAAAAATATTCCCCCCCACCGATATGTGTGCACGCATCGAGTTAAAACTAGTAGGGGAGAGAGGAAGAAAGGACGTTGATCAAAGATTGGAAAACTTTGGAAGGAAATGAAGGCTCGTGGGAGCGCGTGCTACTTTCTTTTTTTTATCTGGCGTGTCACTTCTTAATCAATCCGCTAGATTGTTACGAGCGTGTCAATCAAAACGCCCTTTTAAAGTGCAACCTTCCGGAAACTCGTCACAACGAGTTCCTTCTTATCGGCTCGAATTAGAAATCGGAATCGTGGCGCGATTGCACGCGACGCTTAGGTCGATTTAAGTCGTAGGAAGATTGAGAAATAACGATGGAACGTTATTTATATCTTGGAGAAATTTTAAGTCGAAGGAAGGCACACGATGAAAATGAAAATATCGTTGTATAATGTATTATGCAAGTGTATTTTGTATTTGTTTTCTACGCGATACTAGGTTGACGTAAATGACCTAGATAAAGAGATTGAAAGATACTTTGTCGAAAGAAGACGTTGAAGTACTAGCTGTTTTATTGAAAGTTCATTCTTTTCGAAAAATAGAACAAGTATCTTTGAGGAGAGAAATTTTTAGATTATAATTCTCAAATATATTTATAATATATAAGAAAAATAGGAATAAATAAAAGTATCGAGATAATTTGCATGAAATTAATTGATTAACAATTCGAGGTAATAAATATCAGATTATTGCAGATGAAATGACTAAATTCTTAATAAAATTATTCAAAATTTACTTGATTTAATGTATCATTTTTTTCGTAATTTTCTTTAAATATTATTCAACGATATCTCAAATCATTCATTTCTGAATTCTAATTCTATAAATTGATGATATTGACTGTTTCGTGTGCGAAACATAACCTAAATCTTTAGCACGATATTCGAAGAAATTAATAGATGGTTATCGACAAAAAGGATAGACAAAAGATTACCAAAAATCAGCCTTGTTGTCTTTCACACACAATGGCATTTGAAAGGGAATTACGTTCAATTTACTTAGGGAGTTTCATGAATCATCGACTAAGTTTCCAAAGTAACCAGAGAGGATTTCGAATCAGATGCAAGCATCCGCAACGCGGTCACCAATACCAAGCAGATTGGTGACCGGTGTTCCATGAACAAGACTTTGAGGTATCCGCTATTGAAAGTCAAAGAGCGCGCAAGAACATTTCCTGTGATGTGCAACTTCGTACAACTATATATATATATATATATGTGCAACTCAAAAGTGAGAAGCATTCGTAGATTTACCTACATTTATCCAATATTTGTTCCATCTTGACAAGCAGCGGGACATCTTCGAGAAATGATGTGAACGCGCAATCTGAATTTTCGAAATGTTGTTCTCTTCTTTTTGACTATTTATTTACGTTCAACGCCATGTTTAATGTCCTCTTTATCGATT